ACAGGGCGGGACAGGGCGGAACAGGGCGGGACAGGATGGGGCGGGACAGGGCGGGACAGGATGGGACAGGATGGGACAGGACGGGACAGGGCGGGACAGGACAAGACGGGACAGGGCGGGACAGGATGGGACAGGGAGGAACAGGACGGTACAGGGCGGGGCAGGACAGGGCAGGGCGGGACCAATGGTATGGGTCAGACTAACACCATATGGCACTCATATAATGGTGAGGAATAAAAATACAATATGTTGCATTGTATTATATTTTTTACAGGACTTCTTTCCTGAAAATGCCTTTAAAAAATAAAATCTATTTACTGTATAAGGCTTCATTTTTTTCGCGCTTTTGATCTAGATTTAGAAAATTTACTTCACACAGTTTATAATGTTGCGATTTATATATGTGAAGGAACTAAATGTGCTTTAGCACAGAGATGGGACATTCGGCATATAAAGTGTGAAAAAATGCAACGAATAGCTTTTATGCAACAACAAGATGGTGTATTCTGTTAAATCAATAATCAACAAAACTAAAAGATATGTGATCTAATCTTTCTTCAAACATCATTACTCTTTATGTATATGAATCATCACAACCCCGTGTGCGCTATTCCGCGACAACATTACGGTTATGAAGTTTATTATTGCGCAAAATTATCCTACTATAAGGTAATATGTGATAGTACGGTAAGTAAAATTATTGTTATGTATAATGGTCAGGCCTTACCTTCCAGACATCCATGCGAATCAATGCTCCAGCTATCAAAGAGTTACCAGACGCCTCAACCCAAGCAGCCTACGAACATAAAAACATCAGTTCAGGATCAATCTTCTACACTATTACTGAAGCAAAACTCAACACTCAAGTCCAATATAGGATTTACTGTAACACTAATACAAATACTGTACAATCTAACCTCTCAATGAATGACACATTTGTATTTGATGAAAAAGATTTGTTAAAAAGTCTTGATAGAAATGTGCAGACAGTAATGATGCAGGTAGCATGTTGATTTGTATTTTTTACGTCTTATTAACAGCTGTGGTTATTTAAGGACGCGCCAGGTTTTGGTGGTGGAGAAAAACCACCAACCTGCGGCCAGTACCTTGTGGCTGCCCCACCTAGGCCTCTAACCCGCGACTCTGTGACGGAAGGCTAGTGATCATAGACAGCCAGATGCCCTAACCACTCGGCCACCGCAGCCTCTCTAACACAATGAATTATAGAAGTCTTATGATTTTAAAATCCCACAACACAGGATACTAAATTCTGAACAGAATAAGATGAGGACGCAGGAAGAATAAATTCACCAGAGTTAATAATCACATACTCTGACTGGAAAACATTTTGACCTACCTCAGTAAAGTACCATTCCACTGTATTGTTACTGCCGGTCTCCTGGTCCAAATATAACCCACACCATACCTGACAGTATACTCCACGGGTTAATCTCTGTAACAAAACAATCCGCAAGTCATCTCTGTAACATATAACACTCCACGAGTCAATCTCTGTAACATATAATACTCCACGATTACATCTCTATAACATATAACACTCCACAAGTCAATCTCTATAACATATAACACTCCACGGGTCAATCTCTGTAACATATAACACTCCACGATTACATCTCTATAACCTATAACACTCCACAAGTCAATCTCTATAACATATAACACTCCACGAGTCAATCTCTGTAACACATAACACTCCACAAGTCAATCTCTGTAACATATAACTCTCCACGAGTCAATCTCTGTAACATATAACACTCCACGAGTCAATCTCTGTAACATATAATACTCCACGATTACATCTCTATAACATATAACACTCCACAAGTCAATCTCTGTAACATATAACCCTCCACGAGTCAATCTCTGTAACATATAACACTCCTCGATTATACTTCTGTAACATATAACACTCCACGATTACATCTCTATAACATATAACACTCCACGATTACATCTCTGTAAGATATAACACTCCACGATTACATCTCTGTAACATATAACACTCCATGATTACATCTCTGTAACATATAACACTCCACGATAACATCTCTGTAACATGTAACACTCCACGATTACATCTCTGTAACATATAACACTCCACAAGTCTATCTCTGTAACATATAACACTCCACGAGTCAATCTCTGTAACACATAACACTCCACAAGTCAATCTCTGTAACATATAACTCTCCACGAGTCAATCTCTGTAACATATAACACTCCTCAATTATACCTCTGTAACATATAGCACTCCACGATTACATCTCTGTAACATATAACACTCCACAAGTCTATCTCTGTAACATATAACACTCCACGAGTCAATCTCTGTAACATATAACACTCCTCGATTATAGCTCTGTAACATATATCACTCCACGATTACATCTCTATAACATATAACACTCCACAAGTCAATCTCTATAACATATAACACTCCACGAGTCAATCTCTGTAACACATAACACTCCACAAGTCAATCTCTGTAACATATAACCCTCCACGAGTCAATCTCTGTAACATATAACACTCCTCAATTATACCTCTGTAACATATAGCACTCCACGATTACATCTCTGTAACATATAACACTCCATGATTACATCTCTGTAACATATAACACTCCACGAGTCAATCTCTGTAACATATAACACTCCACGATTACATCTCTGTAACATATAACACTCCACGATTATACCTCTATAACATATAACACTCCACGATTACATCTCTGTAACATATAACACTCCACGATTACATCTCTATAACATTTAACACTCCACGATTACATCTCTGTAACATATAACACTCCACGAGTCAAACTCTGTAACATATAACACTCCTCGATTATACCTCTGTAACATATAACACTCCACGATTACATCTCTGTAATAAACTAATGAAAAAAGTAACGCAATTCTAGCTCTTGGCAGTAAATTTCGTAGGTTGTCAGATATTTCTTTAGTTTTAATTTAGAGTTCAGTTTAATATTTAACTGGATTCTATCTGATTATTTCATTAGAACATTTGATGTTGTAACATAACAGTGAGTCTCAGAAATGACTGCGCAATAGAGCCAGCCATCCCCTATTCCAGTGTCTGTTCAGTACTGTGTGTGTCCTCCGCGGGCGAGATCCTTACGAGTAATTTTCTAATTATAACACCCTATGAATAATTCTCCATAACATGTAGCACCCCATGATTATTTTTTCATATAGTATACTGTATACTAGGAAACTTTGGCCCCGTCAATCTTTTGACCTAAGCTGGAATTCGCCCCTTTACATTTTGTTGTTATGTCCATCATGTCGTTACCTAATGTTGTCTCTTATGATAATATCTTACCTCATAATCAACATAGCTGTCAATTGTCCCTTATTGGGAGAGAGACTCCCTCATTTTGACCAAAATTTACCAATCTCCCTCGAAACTCCCTCAGTAAAGTCCAAACTCGCACAAACTCAAAATATACATCCTGTGGTCACATGATCTACTAATTACTGCACGGTGTGTGTATGATCCTAACAGGCGTGTCTGAATCAAACCAACGTTTTTTTGGAGTTAATTTGATATAAAAAAAAGGGTGAGATAAATTGAACAAAGAAGTTTCAGTCGTGTTTCACACACTTTTTCCCACATTGGAAATGTGGAATGAAGGAGATCTCATTGGAGGTTTCATAGGCTGACACCTATGAATAAAGGGTAAAAAAGACGGGAGTTAAACTGCGGCGAAAATTACCCGGTAATAATAATAATAACTTGAGGTTTTTATATACCGCTTCATCACAATCTAGTGCGTAGGTCGTCTCGAAGCAGTTCCCAAAATATCATTTGTGGTTATAGGGCCTTTGCAACCAGCCAATATCTTTCTCAGCTCCCTGGGGAGCATACAGCCGGTGCTGCCATTTCGGCACTCACAGCTAGCATTCTATAATTCCAGCACTACCCAACCACGTACTCATTTACAGCTGAGAAGACTGGAACAAGCGGAATAAAGAATCTTGCTCAAAGATACAACACTGTGCCGTACTGAGACTCGAACCTGCAACACTTCGATCACGAGCCCGGCGTCCTACCACTAGACTACCATGCCTCCTATACACGGTACACAATATAACACTGACATTGATGTGAATGTTACCTTGCCAATATACTGTATCAAATTTGTGTTGAGGTGGAACACTTCCGCAGCATTGACCATACTGAGGCTATTGGGTATGGCACTGTTGGATTGTTCAGCCACGTAACGGACGCCCTTCTGTAGCGTGGAGAGCGTACACACTCCGATGTAAGTGTCCACAGTGTACAGAATACCTAAACACACAAAACCACCATCAGATCTCCATCACAATTTAAGTTGCCTGAGTAACAACAGAAAATATTATCTCTGAATAATTATCTTGGACTCGGCTCTCCAAAACACAAAATCTCTTCCTATTTAATTCCATGTATTCTCACAGTTGACCATTGTATGTAAAAGTTTGATTAAAAAATCCATTGAACATGAAGTTGCTAGAGTAATGACAAAAACAGAAGAAAAAAAAAATCATGTGTGCATATACAACTGAAACACTATGAATTCAATCACAAAGGAATATTACACTACATCTGTATTTAACAAGTTAACTCCTGATATGAATAAATGAGAAAAGGGACCTAGCATCCTTAGAAATATTTGTAATTAAAAACAAATTCAAACAGAATCACTAATACAAGTATGTAAATCATTCATTTGTTTCACATCATCAGATAAAAAAATCTGACTGAACTCAACAACCCAGGTGGAGTATAAAATGGTCTGGGGTGGATGTTGCAGTATCTGTGATATAGCATTCAAGTGAGGTGGCACTATAAAAGATGCCGTTGGAAGCACAGTCCCACTACAAACAGAACACAACACATCTCCAGCACACACGCAGGCATACACACATAGGGAGATATTAGCCAGGCGGCATAGGACTAGTAGTTAGCACCTGATAAGGCAGCTCCTGCGAATTCCTCAAAAATTGTATATCCTAATTGTATTAATTGTATAACTATGTACTGTAAAGCGCTTTAGAGTGGCTTATGTTAGCTAGATAGGGCACTATATCAAATGTTGTATATCATTATTATTATATATTATTATTGAAGAGCTGTATAGCAGCAAAAAAAACTCCTGTCTTCTTGTGACTTTTTAAATATTTGTATCATTTTCCTGTCAAATGGACTTTAATTCCATTTTTATATTTAACATATACCAGGTATATATACACTGTAGCTAAGAACTTAAAATAATAACCTGAAGACGGTCGTAATGCTGAAAACATTTATCGATACCATAAAAAACCTGTGTAATTTGCGCACCTACGTAATTTGCGAAGGTACTTTTTTGAGCAGAAAATGCTGAAAAAAAAGCCTGCTATCTATTTATCATGCACATAAATGTTTTCCCTCAAAAAGGATGTCCGGAATGACCATAAAATTGATCTCTGACACGAAACTTTGACACAAATATCTTCTTTCTAATGTCGTTTATAAATCTATTGACTTAAGATCTTTATGCAGATGCATAACGCTGTTTGTTTTCTTTGAAGTATGCAGTAACATCAGACTGAACACGTGCTCATAACGGCACACACCAACCCAACTTACATAAATATTCATGGCCTTCACAAACCTCCACAAGTGATGTGTAGTCAACTATATTTTACTGTTTTGATTTTGGATAAGAAGGTGAGTAGGAGTTTCAAGCTTACCAAATTTCATTAAAACATATAAATTCCCCTTATGTTATTGACCAAGATCAGTACTGATTAAATCCCTTTTGTTTCACTCACAAAGATCAGATACATATTTTTTTATTGACCAAGGCTACAACAAGTTACCTCCCTTTATTATGCTCTCCGAAAATTAAACACCGTTTACTTCCCCTTATCTCACTGACCTGTTTTGAAGTCGTAGTATTCTGAGAACGTGTCAGAATCTGTTCCATCTGCTGATTTATGATCTCTGCGTATTCTTTGTCGTTCGGCATCAAAGTATATCTGCAAACCGAAAAATGCAAGTTTGAAATAAAGTAATTCGCCGTTTGAGTGCATGGGTACTCAAAATTCATTCATTCATGTTCACACAAATTGTGTTTTATCGGAAAACCACAAAAATTTGGGCCCAATGAAGTATCAGATTTCACAGTATATAGATTACAGATGTCAGAACTATTGCCTGTGCGAACATTTCCTTGGTAAAAAATCTCATTTGTACAGTGGTCTACCTACAGTAGAAAAAAGTGTTGTAGATGGGAAGAAGGATGTATCAAAAGGAATCACAATTGAGAATTCTATTTCCACTTCAAAATCAGAATAAAAGATAACGTAAAAATCAGTTTGTACAGCTGGGACATGCTATATTTAATTAAAAAATAATGTCTAACATCAGCTAGTTGTATTTATGTCTAAAATCATATGGAAATCAGTAGGGGCATAGTTCTGACTATCACCTAGGATATACAAGTTATATATATTTAAGAATTATTGCTAGGGTAAACAGTGAAAGTATTGTTAAAGGCCACAGTCCATGCTAGTTAACCCATTCACCCCTGAAATTTCATAATGGACTATTCCAATTTTTGAATTGGAAGAGTTCAAATGTTACTTCAGGGGTGAATGAGTTGAAATGTAATTCGTAATTCTAAGCTGTGAAATGAATATTGAAAGAAATCCCGCTTCATGCTACTTATCCAAATAATAAACAATATACTACTCACAGTTTCATATGAGATCTTTTTAAAATCCAAGTCAATTTTCTCCAGAACTGCTGAAAAGCTGCTAGACACACGTCTGGATTGTGCTAGGGGTCCGTAACCATGGCAGTATACTCCTGGAGGTTGCTGTTGGGGAAAATCAAGTCATTTTTTGTGTTAAGTAGCTTAAACCTTTTATTACAATACATAAAACCTCAAAAGACTGTAAACATTTGACAAAATATGAGATTTCCAAAAAACAATTTTCAATGTGAATGAAGGAATAAAATTCTCAGGCAACACAAATTTTGAATGAAATTGAAAAAGGACAAGATATACTAGTGTGTTTATCTTACTGAAATGATACAAAAATACACATCCAAAGAACTCACTCAAACTAATAGATATCTACAGAACTACACAACAAAACGCACCCTAACTTAAAGAGATCTATAGAATTACACATCACAGAGCTCACTCAAATCTTACAAAGATCTACAGAAATACACATCACAGAGCTCACTCAAGTCTTACAAATATCTACAGAAATACACATCACAGAGCTCACTCTAATCTCACAAATATCTACAGAAATACAAAACACAGAGCTCACTCAAATCTTACATATATCTACAGAAAAACACTTCACAGAACCCAATCAAATCTCACAAATATCTACAGAAATACAAAACACAGAAATCACTCAAATCTCACAAATACCTACAGAAATACACATCACAGAGCTCACTCAAATCTCACAAATATCTACAGAAATACACATCACAGAGCTCACTCAAATCTTACAGATATCTACAGAAATACACATCACAAAGCTCACTCAAATCTTAGATATCTACAGAAATACACATCACAGAGCTCACTCAAATCTCACAAATATCTACAGAAAAACGCATCAGAGTTCACTCAAATCTCACAAATATCTACAGAAAAACGCATCACAGAGCTCACTCAAATCTTACAGAGATCTACAGAAATACACATCACAGAGCTCACTCAAATCTCACAAATATCTACAGAAATAAACATCACAAAGCTCACTCAAATCTTACAAATATCTACAGATAACACATCACAGAGTTCACTCAAATCCCACAAATATCTACAGAAATACACACCACAGAGCTCACTCAAATCTCACAACTATCTACAGAAATACACATCACAGAGCTCACTCAAATCTCACAAATATCTACAGAAATAAACATCACAAAGCTCACTCAAATCTTACAAATATCTACAGAAAAACACATCACAGAGCTCACTTAAATCTTACAGAGATCTACAGTAATACACACCACAGAGCTCACTCAAATCTCACAAATATCTACAGAAATACACATCACAGAGCTCACTTAAATCTCACAACTATCTACAGAAATACACATCACAGAGCTCACTCAAATCTTACAGATATCTACTAAGCACATGTTTACTCAAACACCTAAAACACAACTCACTCAAACTAAGAGATATCTACTCAAATACAGGTCATGCTACATACTCACTCAATGCTTACATACCTACGCAAATACATGTTACAATGCTGAAATGATACACGCATCATCTGAAATAATGGCATATATCATATCAATAACTCAAGACATTGATACGTACACATGACAGGGTTAACTCCACGTTTCTTATTTCAATTGATTTTGGTGTTCCCTTAGCCCTTTCACCACTGTAGACCATAATGGACTCATCCGGATCAATGCATGGAAGAGTTTACTTAAGTTACATAGGGGTGAAAGAGTTAAGGAAATAAGTGTTCATTAACAGGTAAAATGAAACAGACCTGTAACATAGTTTGATCTATCAATGGGGAAGGTTTATAATCGAGGTAGTCCCCGATGACATGGAAGGGATTTTGGAGATTCACTGTTCCTCTTATCTCTATTCTAACGGGAATCACAGCATCTGGGGGCGCAAACGGTGACTTCCATCCTTTCTCTGGAAAACAATGAAATCAACATCATCATTAATGTAGTAACTATGTAATCTTCACAACGGTCAAGTGGAACAATAGCTAAAATATATTATAAAAATATTACAGACAAATAGTACACTGTATCACATGAAAAAAAGGACTACAAATTGTTTGTGCCTTATTGGCCCCCAATTTTATCAAATTTCATAAGCTAGCTGTCATTGAATTTTCAAATCCCTGTTTTAGAAATTTGAATACTTATGAAAATATTCAAATGTGGTTTTAATAATGGTTACCATGGTAATCAGTTTAGATTTAAACAAATTAATGAAATTCAGCCAATTTTGTCGAGTCCTTTTTTTTCTCTTAGCAACCATGCATAGTGCTATCCTTTATACTCCATGGGTTACACTCATATAAGTTCTGTGCATCACTGGAATATTTCATAGCAACAACGGAAGGACTGACCAAAGATTAAGAACAATTTGAACACATTGTGGGCTAAAAAACAACTGTCATCCAATGAGTCTTTAGACCGAGTATGTTACTCACCTGCAAGATACAGGTCTACCTTGATGGTCATATTGTAGGAGTATACAAACATGCAAGAGTTATAGTGGTTCACGTCTATACCTCGTATAACTGTCGTCCCCACAAAATGCTACAACGGAACAGTGTAAAAATGTATAAGGAGTGGACCATCTTCATTACACTATCAGCAGTACAATGAGTCAAACAGTGTAAAAAAAGTGTAAGGTGTGGAAAACACTACTGTATTGCGGGAAATTTTCACATTTGTTTAACTTTCGCCTTTTTCGTCCTCAGTAATGATTGGTTTGGTTTATTTGGTTTAATTTTGTTTAACATCCTATTAGCAGCTATGGTCATTTAAGGACGTGCCTCCATGTGTGTAGTGTATGCGTGCTTGCGTTTGTGTATGCAGGAGACAGGGTATGTTAGTGTCCTTGCCTCTTTGTGATAGCTCGGATCTGATGCCAACTTTATAGTGCTATCTGACTGAAATGCCATGCCGAAGGCATCAAGGACAGCATTCTGCGCAGTCACAATTTACAATGCGAATTTATTATTACAGCGAACATTGATTAACAACATCATATGTTAACAACTAAATGTGAAGAGCAAATTTAACACTGGGTGAATACTGATTTTACCTGTAGAGGGCGAAAGTTTGACTTTGCGAAAGTTTTGGGGTATACAGTATAACATCAGCAGAACATTGAGGCTTTACAACCATGTAAAATGTGTTACAGATGTACGAGTCAATATGTGCAAGGGTATTAAATTAGTTCCATAAAAAACACATTTTGTCAACAAAATTAGTGTTTCGAAGAAAAACTAAATAAAAAAAGCCCAAAAAGAAAAATCCAGGGATTGAACTTGAGACCTAAATTGTATACACCAACAATCCTACACTTTACCAATGTTGCTATCAATGCACAGCATGAAAATGACAGGTGAAACCTTGTAAAGAAATCAAACTCTAAGCAAGAAACATTTCTTTGTATTGTTTTAGCTTCTTTATATAAGGGAGAATGTTCCAAAATTGAAAAACTTGCTTTAAAGCGAAGATGCAACGATATTTTGTATCGTATCACATCCTGATACTTTCTTGTGCGTATCTTATCAAATTGTTTTGTTTGCCTGTATGGAAAGACACTAACAGTACTTAAATTATCTATCATTTTTTATCAAACTCCCAAAAAAGTGTACTTCATTTTTTTAATCCTTCAGTAAAGATGTGGTCCACTGTGCAGTCATACCAAAAAGTACTAGAAATGATTCACAAATATATTTCGATAGTAATTATTATTGAAATTTTTTGACAAAAACTTAATAAAATCCTGCACTGATCAATCATTATGAAGTTGACCTTTTAAGCAGATATTTGTATCGTGATACGTATCGTATTGTACGCAACGTACCACGATACGTATCGTATCGCGAGGTATGGGTATCGTGATACGTATCGTATTGTAAGTATCGTACCACGATACGTATCGTATCGCGAGGTATGGGTATCGTGATACGGATCGTATTGTACGCAACGTACCACGATACGTATCGTATCGCGGGGGATGGGGATCGTGATACGTATCGTATCGCGAGGGATGGGTATCGTGATACGTATCGTATTGTACGCAACGTACCACGATACGTATCGTATCGCGAGGTATGGGTATCGTTGCAGCCCTACTTTGAAGCGGAACTTTTCGTAACCTTTATCATAAGGCATTTTATTGCTTTGAAGTAAATGCATTGTAACAACTAGTAAATCAACAAACATGGTCATAAATACTTTGTGACTTACCACATGAGATGTCTGGATGGTTTTGAACAGCTCTGAGGTGGTGACGTACCAGATCTCATTGTCAATGAGTGTTAACTCACTGTTACGTTGATACGTTTTACAGGTGTAGGCACCGCTCAACTCTGTTAACAAAAATAAACAATATATCTCGTATCTTATTAAGGTCCAAGGTCACGCTCACAACATATTGATGCCGTTGCTACAGTTACTAGATGTCAATGGTGTATTGTCACTGATGTTGCGTCGTGATGAAAAGTAGCGTACATGTATATAATATATGGTCTAGAAACTTGTATTTTGGTAATTGAGATCAAGGTCAAAGGTCATATTGAGATTGCCATGTCCTCACTTAAAGCTGACTGTGCAAGTAAAAAGCTTTCAGTTGAAATTTAAAAAAAAAACGTAATCTGGTTATGAGATCTTCCCAATCTATTCCGACTATTGTTTCTAAGGAAGTGCCGACATTTTGTCCTTGCTTGGTAATGAGTAAGGGTTTCACTGGGTATAAAAAGTGCATTACCTGTCAAACTGGTTATCATTCTACAATTGTCCGTCTTGCGATTCAATGTACCGCGCACCCTGATCGATCGGTAACCGATATCAAAAATCAAACGCACTCACCTGAAAACTTTGACAAAATGTTGTTACGTACAGCGCATTCGTGAAAATTGTGTATCCAAAATAAAAGGTACATAACTGAAAATACTATATATATCATCTGTAAACTTCACCCACACACAAAAACTTTATTGGGAACTATTAGTCTCCGTCGTGTAGACGCTTTACCAGCAAAACACGTGCAAAATGCGACACTCCCAGGTTTGTAGTCAACAATGTGAAATTGGATAATTGAACTGTTCTCATGGAAATAATTGGAATTAGTATTGTTTTCACACAGGAGGTTATAACTAGTTGGATATCTAAAAGGTAGGCACTAGCATAAGTTGTATGTTTGTTTCTTTCAGGGCTGTTTTATTTATCACAGGGGTGGGGGGGCAGGGAATTTTTGTGCATTAAATATTTTAATTTGTCGTATTTCACTATTATTTCTATTTTTCTTATAGATTAATGATATCTTTGATGTGTTTCATTTTAATTATTTTTATTCAACTGATCTGTTAAAAAATGTTGGTTCAAAATCGTGAAAGTGTTCTATTTATATAGTTAGGTAGTGTCACCTTGCGCACACGCGGAACAAACGTTAACCGGTTCACAGGTAATGCGCTTTTTATACCCAGCGAGACCCATACTCGTTACCAAGCAAGGACAAACTAAAATGTTGGAACTTCCTTAGAAACAATAGTCAGAAGAGATGGTGGGGATGATCTCAAGACAAGAACAAAAATTAAACCTTTTTTTTTTAAATCTCAATTGAAAGTTTTTTACTTGCACTGTCAGCTTTAAGTATGTGACACAGGGCCTTCCCATGATGTATAAATTCCAGATTTCTTTTCTATCTAACTTTTACATCAGCCTATTCCTACATAAGTTGGGAATATCTAGCATGGTGTTTTTTTTCAAATTGGGAAGTTTTTCATTTTGGGAAAATAAAGCACTTTTTTTGCTAGGGGAGCAGTCTGTGTTCACCTGTGAAACTGGACAAAAAATAATGACAGTAAGTCTGAAGTTCAGAAATTAAACAGTGCCTGAGTGTGTTCCAGAAACCTATATTTCAGCATTTGAGATCAAGGTCAAATAAAGATTCATATTGGTACAATGCACAGTGCCTTCTTATGAAGTACCTATAAACTAGGTCTAAAGTTCATACTTGAAACAGTAGTGGTTACAAACTCAAGGAATCTGGTTTGGTAATTGAGGTCAAGGTCAAATGTCAAATAAAGGTTGCTGTGTTCTGGCCGATTTCGTATGTGACAAAGCATCTTCTCATGATGAACCTAAACACCCAGTCTGAAGACCATACATTAAATTTTGGTCAAGATATTCTGTGAAATTTTGTATTTCTGTACCTAAGGTCAAGGTCAAAGGTCAACTAAAAATTGCTGCTTTTTGGCCCATTTCAGTGTATGACACAACATCTTCTTTTGATGAACCCAAACACCAAGTCTGAAGACCATACATTGGTCAAAATATTCTCTGAAAACTTGTATTTCTGTACATGAGGTCAATGTCTAAGGGCAAAATGAGGTTGCTGTTTTCCAACTTTGCTACGCCACAAATGCCTACTTATAATGACCTATATACCTGATATGATGTTTATTCATGAAACAATAATTGATTGGAAAGCTGGAATAAATTGACTAAGCACAGACATAGGCACAAGGCAAATACTATACCCCAGATTTGGAAGTATAAACATACCTCAAATTGTCATTGGCGCCCGTGATCTTACCCTGTTTTATGATGGCATACTGCTCCACAAAGTTGTCAAATAAAACTCTTGTGGTGATGCCCTCTTTCGTAACTATAATGGAGTTCTTCATTTCGATCTTTGACTTGTATTCGTGAACACTGACTGTGAGGTTCTTATTGATAATCTTCCATTCCAGCACTGTAGAGAAGTCTGGGGCGAGGCTTGGCAGTGGAGACAAAGCTACAATAAAACACCAATAATTTCACAAACTAATCCCACTCAAAGTCTTTATATTCAAATTATAATCTTGATATTAAGGAAGCATCAAAATTGATTCACTTTTTAAAATGTTTTAAAATACTTGAGGAAACTTTATAGCACTCCATCCCAATATACTACGGGCCAAATCATTACCATAGGCCTCTCAGCAATTTGACATTTGACCATTGCTACTTTGAAAAAAGGTCAGGGTCATTTATTTGAGGAAAATTTGTAGCACTCGGTCACAGTTTGCATCTGGACAAATATTACCACTCTGGGCCTCCTGGTTATTCAGAAGTTGTTTAAATGTTTTTACATATTTGACTCCTGTGACCTTGAAAGTAGGTCAAGGTTATTTATTTGAGAAAATTTTATAGCACTCCATTCCAGGTACCTACTGGCCAAATATCATGACCCTAGATCTTCAAATTGTTTAGAAGTTGTCTAAAAGAAAAAAGTTAACAGACGCAGAGATGGATGACAGATGACACACTATACCATTAGCAAAAGTGAGTTTAACCCCTGGAGTATAGAGGACATACCATAAGCTCACTAGCACTTCATGCCTGCTGAGCTAAATATATCGTACCATAAAAACAAATCTGTGCCATATATTTTTATACAATTTCATAAACAGCCCATTGATCATATAACATGTGCTTGTCTGTTGGATAAGATTGTGTGTGAATACCGTCAAACAGCACTGTAGGGTCATTGACATCAAACACCCCTAAAATATTGATATCAGAGTTCAAAGATCAAAGTAGTACATGTATAACTGAAGATATCAGAAAATAGTCATTTGGGTGGTTTAACAGATTTATCCCTTGTGACTTTGAGAATAGGTCATGGAACTTTTTTCCCTCTCCAAACTTTGTAACCTTCCATAAGAGTAATCCACTAACGATATATCATAGCTCTAGGCCTCTTGAAATATTCAGTAAAAAACCTTCAAGTGTTTTAACATATTTTATCCCTGTGACCTTGGAAAAAGTTCAGGGTAATTTCTTCTTCAAAATTTTATAGCAAGCTACTACTGGCCAATTATATAATGAATGTAGGTATTTTTGTTCTCTAGAAGAAGGTGTTTAAGTATTTCTAACAGATTTGACCCCTGTAACCTTGAATAAATTTTAATTTTGTGGTATTCTGTAATTCATAGCCAGTAAGCTTCTGGCCCCATATATTATGTATCCAGAGTTTTTGGTTATATTGAGTGCTTAAACTGCAGATTTGACCCCTATGATCTTGAATCAAGTTCAAGGCCATTTCTTTTCCTCAAATGTGTAGCTCTTATAGCCAGCAAGTGACTGGCAATACATCAGGGCCCAGTTGTTCAAAGGGCGATTAGCTTAGTCAGTGATTAGCGCAAATTTCAATTTATGTGTATCTTTGAAACACAACTATTGGCCGAGTTAAAACTTTCCAGCTATTAAGTATTTAGAAGAGTCAATGTACGTGTAAATTTACGAGTATTTACCTTATATATTGATGAAATTATCAAAGGTTGAAAAATGTCGTTAAACAGTGATTAAGCTAATCATCTTTTGAACAACTGGGCCCAGGACTCTAGGCCTGTTTTTATTTCAGAAAAAGCAGTTTGTTTGAATTAACAAATTTGATCCTTCCAATCTTGAATATGATGAGTTATTAGGTCATTTCTCTTACGAAACTTTGTAGCATTCTATGCAAGCAATCTGTACGGTATATATTATAACTTCAGGCCTGTCTGTGTTTTAGAAAAAGCTGTTTGAGTGTCTTAACAAAATTTGATTTTACATATCAAGGTATTTCCCCCCAAACTTTATAGCATTCCATATCAGTAAGCTGCTGAGTATGCATCACAACTCTAGGCCTTTTGGATCTTCATAAAAAGGTGTATGAGTGTTTTAACAGATTTGACCCCTGTGACCTTGAATATAGGTCAAGGTCATTTCTTTTCTCCCTGTTTTATAGCATTTACTAACAGCAAGCCACTGGCCATATATCATGACTCTAGCTAGGTGTCTCGATGTTTCAGAAGAAGCCATTTGATTTTATTTTTTTTTACAAATTTGACCGCTGTGACCTTGAATAGCTGTCAAAGTCATTCATTTCTGTGCACTATGCAGCATATCATAGCAGGACATTAGGGACCAAATATCATTACCCTAAGCCCTCTTGTTCTCCAGAAAAAAAGACACTTGAGTAGGTAACCATTAAAGAATTGAACTTTGTGTTGTAAAGCACCTCCTAGTGGCCTTGTTCCAAATTAGATTTTGTTTTTCTTCGCAAACTTTGTAAGACATCAACTTAGAATGATACATAATGAATATCAAAATCATTTGAATGCTGGTTCGTTTCAAGAAGATTTTTTTAGAAACCTCACATTTTACCCCCTTTTTGAACCCTTTCGTGCCCCATGAAGTGGCCAGCCCCTTCCCCTTCACAAATCTAAATCATCATCACCTAGGGATAGTTCCTAACAAATTTGGTTGTAATTGGCGTTGTGAATTTTGAGAAAAAGAGGTTCATGTGAAAGTAATAACTGACAGACTACAGATGCGAGATGCCCGACGACAACAGATTCCATTAGCTCACTTGGTCTTGCAGGAAAATACTGTCAAAGTCCTTTATTTGAGGGATAGGGACGGGTGCTAATTCAAGAGTTTACACAAAATCACAAAACATAGTTATTCAGACCAATTGTATTCATTTTTCATTATATTTTCAGGTTTTTTAAATAATAATATGGGATTTAACTTTGCTTTTAAAACCTGCTTATGAATAGAGAGGTGTCATAAAGATGTTTATGATTTTCGGCGCACTTAAGTGAAATAAAATTGTTATTTTTGGAGGTATAAACTAGGGTGGGCCTGAAACATACGGTACTTACAAATATTGTGAGTGACATCACAGACGCTGAAATCCAGACCAGGAATATTATCCAGTTTGCCCTTTTGAGCTAAACACGTACTCACTAAAATTACCAGGACCACACCAATTCTGTCCAAGTTAGCCATTCTGGAGAAACAATAACGAAATATTAGTTCAAATGAATACAGTATACATGGATACTTTCACCCAGTCAAACTTTCGCCAACCAAGTCTTACTTTCGCCCAGTAAAATTTTCACCCAGTAAAACTTTCGCCAACCAAGTCAATCTTTCGCCCAGTAAAACTTTCGCCCAGTAAAACTTTCGCCAACTAAGTAAAACTTTCGCCCAGTAAAACTTTCGCCAAGTCAAACTTTCGCCAGCAAAGTCAAACTTTTGCTAAGTCAAACTTTCCCCAAGTAAAATTTCCGCCAAGTCAAACTTTTGCTAAGTCAAACTTTCGCCAAGTCAAACTTTCGCCTAGTAAAACTTTCGCCAAGTCAAACTTTCGCCAGCCAAGTCAAACTTTCGCCCAGTCAAACTTTCGCCCAGTCAAACTTTCGTCCCGTGCTAGTAAAATTTATATTGACGACTCATATTTATTACAAAGTTTATTATGTTGTCAACTAGTTTTCTATTTAATGATTAATTTACCCTTATTACAGAAAGTTGAATTGAGATCAACTAGATATCTCAAGACAGAAGATATCCCTGAAATCTCTTCTACACTGAAACCTGTCTAAGCTGACCCCTAAATATACTGACACACTGTTTAATCCAACATTATGTATTCTGTATTCTCCTTTATAATAAAAATATAAACTAACAAATAAGACCTGTGTATACCAACATCCTGTTTAAATTACCAAGTATGTTGCATCCCACAAAATGTCAGATTAGACAGGCTAATATCATGAGTGTTTCACATCCCTCAGGATGTCTGTTTAGACAGGCAGATCTGACATTATGTTGTCACAAGATGTCAAAATTAAAGAGGCTAATCTGAATAGTACGTTATCACACAAAATGTCATATTAGACAGGTCAACCTGACCAATATATTGTGTCCTGCAGGGTGTCACTTTAGACAGGCAAATCTGACTGCCGTCCCAGAAGATTTCAGATTAGACAAGTTTCACTGTATTACTTGTAAATACCCTACAACATCTAAACGTCAAAGTAAAAACCCAAAATCAAAACTTTAATAACAAATCTTCAGGAACTTGAAAGCTGAAAAGCCTTATTACACAAATTGTCATGTTACTAAAAATAGAAAGACCATGTGACTTCCATTGTGTGTAAAATGAAAATACATGGACTTGAGTATTGCAACTCTTCATCTGCATAAACATATTGATTCATGAAAACATTCACCACTATATTACATTTTTTTTAAACTGAAAATACAGTATACATTTAACCTGATAATTGTTTCACACAAAACATTTGCTATCAAAACACTCTTCATTGAATACTGTTGGGTAACCGATCAACAAACTACCAATGTTTGGATACAGAAATTAGCACATATCTAATCCAGTACTGCACGCAATAATATTAATATGAAAACACACGTAAAAGTAGCAGTAGAAACAGACGGTTTCGATATTTGACTGAAAGTGATAGAACTAAACACTGTTAAACCTTGATATAATGCCCATCATTTTATTTTCGTTTTTGCTTACCTTGAAAACACATTTTCAGGTCCCTTTTTCTTTCCTTATTTTAAACCTTTCCCTCAATATATTGTCGAACCTTTTTATAACGCCAAGATCTTTCGAGAGAAATGGTGGCAGTATAATAAGGTTTCATTGTATATTAGTCCGACGCTGATTCACCCCAAACATTTTATAAAGATAACCTACGCACTAAATTAGCCTACAGAAAAAAAATCAAACTAATTAAACAGAAAAGAAAGAGATTAAAATTAAATTAAAAAATTCCACTTACCTGGAGTGTTTTTATGAACAATTCACATAAATATCTCTCTTCCGTGATATATTAATCCTTTTTGGCTTTGATTTCACATGGCCTATGACGGAGTTGGGTCGTTGTTATCTGCAGTGCGACTGGCCGTCCTTCCCCATCATAGCAGATAAGATGTACATATATACAGCAATCTCTGTTGTTCTCCATCGACTGATTAAACATCTAATCTGATTGTTTACCTGCGTAGTCTGTTATCCTATTACCTGCCTGTATTTATAAACCCTCGATCAGTCAGGTATTACATCAGTGATGCGCTTATAGGCAAAAATGATTCAGGGATGTCTGTTAAAGAGTGGAAAAGACCAGTCTTTTAGCATAGGTCACTTTAACAAACAGGCACATCTGGCCTGTATTGGTCATCTGTTTCTTCTGTTATATCAGTGAACTAAACAAGAAATTACAGTGAATGTGAAGGGATGTGGGTGGGGTTGGGGTGGGGGTCGATGAGGGGAGGGGGAGAATAGGAACGGGACCGACACACCTTTTATTTTTTCAACATTCAGTCCCCTTTATTTGCCTAGAAATTCTTCAGACCAAATTTGGTTTATTCTGTTAAAGACCTACTTCTATTTCCCATATTTCCCAACCGTCTTCATCCAAGAGGGCCATCCCTTCATATACACACAAGAGCTGTAAGAAATCAGCATAGCTCTCATATTCAAAACATAAGGTCATTTAAGTTCCAACACATGTGATTTTTTTTAACAAGTGGCCAAGTTGGCCTGTACAACTCACCTGATATTCAGTGCTGTGCCAGCCAATTCAATCTAGCAAACTTGATGGCCCTTAAGCACAGCAGGCTACAGGTCACATTTCATCACATTATGTCTTCTTGTTGTTCAGAAGAAATCAAAGGGTTTAACACATTCAACCCAACTGACCATCAAAATGGATCAAGTTAATCATTTGAACAAACTCTATAGACCTCCATCCAATTATGCTTAAAGCAAATGATCAAGACCCCAAGCCTGTTGAAGGTATTTATAAAGAATAAAACTATATTATGTGAACCCTGTAATCTTGAAAGTGGATCAAGGCAATTCATTTTAACAAACTTGATAGCTATCCCAGCATGCAACCTAGGCCAAATTTCATGATCCTTTGCTTCCTGCTTATTTTGAAGTGGTTTATCATATTTGATTCGTTTGACCTTGAAAGCGGGTCAGGGTCGTTCATTGATGGCCCTTTACCACTGCATACAACTGGCCTCTTAATTATTCAGAAGAATTTCTTTAAATGTTTTTACATATTTGACCCCTATAACCTTAATTAAAAGTTGTACAAGGTAGTTAACTTTCAGCATAATATAACCCTATGCCCATTTCTTAAATAAGTTAGTTTAAAGGTTTCAACTATTTTTACCTGTGACCTTGAAAGAAAGTCAAGATAATTGATCTGGTCACACTTGATAGACCTTCATAGTAGCATACTACTAGTCAAACATCACTTTAGGCCTCTGTTTTAATCAAAGGGAGTGTTTTTTTAAATGTTTAACTAACATAACCCTGTGACCTTGAAAGCTCGAACCAGGATAGCTAAAAACCAAACAAAAAAGACACAGCAAACAGATGGATGGAACAGCAACTAAATATTCCAAAAAAAAACACCTTTCCAGGAGCCTAAAAATCTGTTTAACTGCTTGAAAATTTGTCATTTAAATATTTACCCCATTTCCATATTGCACCCAGCCCCTCTGATTATTGATGGGCTGATGATCGATTATAATCGAAAATTGATCGGTTTGACCTTTCCGATTCCAATTATTGTTTACAAATTCCATTATCAATTTAATCGGTTCTTCATTTGTATAAAAAAGTATTGAAAGTCATATATTCTGGTGACTTTTATTATATGATTGATAAAACTGCATAAAACTTGCTTGAAATCCATTCATTATAAAAGAATGTAACCTAGTGTATAGTTAACAACTCTGTCTATTGATCTTATGGTAGTGTTGTCACATTATTTGTGTATTCAGTCCCATAAAATTATGAACCGGTTATGCAATTGATCATCGATTGGTTTACTACTTCCGATTACAAACCGATTATCGATTATGATTTTAAACCGATTGCCCATCACTCCCTCTGATACCCCCATCACATGGGCGGTTGGACAACACACCCTGAGGTGAGGGTTACAAACCTTTTATTTAAATAACTATTGAATCCTTTTGGTCACATGATTATTTAAACCAAATTAGGCTGAAGACTCCCTGTCCCATGTCACTGTGGTGTGTTTTTTTTATATGAACAGTAACCTCCTCCTAATTTGGTGTTGGCTATAAGTGTACCACCTTTGTGCCAATACACTTCCATTGACCAGGTTGCTCAGTCAGTTAAAGTTATCTGAGTTCCTGGGTTTGAATACCGGTCTTTTTTCACTGAATTTTAAAGTTCTGCAAGGTATATGGTTTTCTTTTCGGAAATGATATATCGCAGCTTTATGAGAAGTTCTTTTTACACAACCAATGAAATTTTCTATGTGACGTTTCGATGACTAGTACGATATGTACACTGTCACCTTCATCGGACAAAAGGCTCAAAGACTCTCGCACATCTATGACCAAGTATTAAACAAAGCGTAGCTGAATCGAGTCATTTCGGTACATATACATGTATAACAACTATTGTACATACACTTACAGAGTAGCCGAAATCGACATAGATTTTATGGACAACTGGTTTACACCTTTGTGTGCATACGCTTCACTGGTCATTTGTCTGATGAAGGTGACAGTGTACATATCGTACTAGTCATCGAAACGTCACATAGAAAATTTCATTGGTTGTGTAAAAAGAACTTCTCATAATCCATACTTACCAACCTGAAGAAAATGTTTAGAGATATATCACAGGTATGTCTGCAAAGTTGGTTTCCGATGCATAGTTACAGTTTAGGCAGTGGTACAGGGATCCTTAAATAGCTTCATTAGCAGTCTTTATCCATTTTATCCACATTTACCCTCTAAGGCCTAGGCTGCCATTCCCCTGGGGAGCTAGATTGTTTCTTTTAAATAGTATTCAATCCTTTAGCTCCATACTGAGTTAAGCAAAAACCCTTCAGTCATCTGGAGTAGTAGTCTTTTAAAAGAAAAGTTCACGACAAATAGATAATTAACACTGGGCCATGTTAAATATAATACTGAACATCAAAGGTAATTTTTCCATATGATTAACTTTTAGAATGCAACAGTAAAATTTGGTTGAAATGTGATATTTCCATAAAAAGTTCACTCTCCATAAACTTTGAACACAAAAACAAAAAAATAATGCGCTAAAGAATAAAATATTTTATTAAGAAATGTTCAGGGCTCTTTGTAAATTGGTCCTCAGTTCATCAAGCTCTGTGACGCTCGTGTGGGATGTCCCATAATGCACTTTGAATATGGGTAAAGCGTCATTGGTGACTGTTAAGGCCGTTTCGGGGTGTCCAGCACTGACCAGCACCTCGGCGTATTTCTGGAGCTCATTAGCATACTCTATACTCGAGTCCCCATATACTGTCTTTACACTGTTCACACTCTCTGTCAAATATTGACAGGATTTCTCAAAGTCACCTGGAAATGCAGAAAAATAGAAGTGGAAAACTACTGGAAATATACATATGTTAGCAGTATTCTAATTTTAGCATATTTCATGCTTTAAATATTCCACTAACTTCTGATAGCGCCAATTAAATTTCTGTATATAGTTTTCTATTCCAAGGTGATTGTAATCCCTGTGGCAATTTCGTACCCATCTTAGACTTGATAAGAACATTTCACAAAAACATATATTTTTAAATAAACATGTCGTTTTGAATAAAAACAACCATTTTCAATCCACTTGAGGGTGTTCTTGTTTTTTGTGCACTTCACATATCTTACAAGCTTGCCATGGTGATAATTGCGTGGAATCTGGTGTAAAGTTTTCTTTTACTTTCTATTATGAGTGTGACAATTCATCAATGTGGTAATCTGTTAAAACTTTGTAATAATCTAAAATTTGAATCTGCTAAAGTCAGTACTTTCACAGTGCATTAAGTTTAATGAATATAGACTAAATATCGAGAACTTTTTAAGGCTCAAATATATTTGGTAAATATTCAACCTGCCCTGAATACAGATCAAGTGCACGGTCTTATAATGTACATGTTTTTTTAAGGTGTTCACACAGACATCTGTTCTTTGTATTGAGCTTGACAGCGAAAAAAGTTTGTGTGTTTTAATTTTTCCCTTTAAGTCCTATTAACAGCTATTAGGGACAAGCCAGGTTTTGGTGGTGGAGGAACACTGGAGTGGAGTACCTGGAGAAAAACTACCAACCTACAGTCAGTACCTGGTGACTGCCCAATGTAGGACTCGAACCCAGGACCCAGTAGTGAAGGGCTAGTGATCATAGACAGTCAGACACCTTCACCCCTCGGCCACTGCAAACAAAGTTGAGCGCAATTTTCACCTGAAAGTTAGATCGACCTTGTCTAGATCTATTAAATTTGACCTGCTTACCCATGATGGCATAACACCTGGCCAGGAAGTCCTTGGTCTCGGTCAAATCGCGGTGGTACTTATGGAGGATAACATTCCTTATCTTGTGACATCTCTGCATCACTTCAACAGCCCCTGATGTAAACAAGACAACAGACAGTCAGATGTGGTGTTGGTTTGGTTTGGTTATTAGGTCTAATATTCTGATAACAGATTTAAGGCCTTGCATGTGTGAATGTGTGTATGTGTGAATGTGTGCAAGTGTGTATGTGTGTATGTGTGCATGTGTGCATGTGTGTATGTGTGTATGTGTGCATGTGTGCATGTGTGTATGTGTGCAAGTGTGTATGTGTGTATGTGTGCATGTGTGTATGTGTGCATGTGTGCATGTGTGTATGTGTGCATGTGTGTATGTGTGAATGTTTGCATGTGTGTATGTGTATGTGTGTATGTGTATGTGTATGTGTGAATGTGTGAATGTGTGAATGTGTGCATGTGTGTATGTGTGTATGTGTGAATGTGTGCATGTGTGCATGTGTGCATGTGTGTATGTGTGTATGTGTGCTGGGGGCAGTATTTATTAGTAAATTTGCCTCCTTGCAATAGCACGGATCTGATGCTGACTTTATAGTGCTATCTCACTGAAATACTGTGCCGAAGCACCCAGCACAGTTTTCCACCTGGTCACATAACACCACTTTCAAAACAATTTGCCTCTTACAACATGCAGCGGGTAACAGCAGGTATATTCATTCCCCAATCCCCAACCTGCAGGGGTGTTCAGATGTGTTTTGGCGGGGTTGTGACTTGTATAAACATACAACAGACAAATGTAGTTTCCAGTTTTGCTAGGGAAAAATTAATCTTGCGTTTACCTACCTAGGGAAAGACAACCCACACATGCTTTTATTTTGTAAATATCACGGTCATGTCATCACTGGATGCAGTGTAACCAGGGAAACGTCATCAATTTACCTGGGTAGTCACATTTCATGCTCCTTTGATAATGGCTCTGTGAAAATTGGTTTCACCACTATGTCTTGTTTTAATGGTAGGAAATTGTGTGATATGCTAAACGTCGTAAGTCTAACCCCCGGGTGATTTCTTTGTCTACATCACACAGGAGTGATAGGTTCTATTTAGTGTCAGCCTACCTGTGATGTTGTGAGCTTCCAGTCTCTGGATTCCTTGTAGAAACAAGTCTTTGGCTACACCAGCTTTTTCCTTATAAGGTAAACTGTTGTCATGGTAACCACATCCTGAACACACAACCTCTGTTTGTTCCTCGAGTAAGCCATTCTCACACTTTGGACACCGGAACACCTATAATACAAACATCAACAGGACTCAGTATAGGACAAAAAGAATCAGTTGAGAAACAGCAAACTTTTTTTTTTAAATGATAGCCTCATGAAACTTTACCTGATGAAGATTTAACACTAATTCTCTTTGGAAGGGTGATAACGAGACATTTAATTCTGTGTCACAGTGGAAAAATAGTCAAAATGCAAGGTATTTTTTGAAGAAAATGTATCTACATAAAGGCGGCACCCCACTCGTCATTTAATGGCCACTGGCACCAATATTACGTCAAACATGGTATATGGTTTCTCTGGTGAACAATTACACAAAGTTTTGCAACAATGCATTGATTCCTTGGGAAACAACCCTACATACAGACATTACACTGATGGTCAAATTTTACTTACCATGTACACTAAATTCTGGCTACTATCCAGCACACAGGCATTACACTGACAGTCAAAGAAATACTGCTCCTTGAGTATCTGTCTTCTGTCAGCACCAGACATTCGTTTGTGGTGAGGACCTTTCAGAGGATAAAACAAAATGGTTACAACTCCTTTTCCATTAATTGCTTCTTCAGCCGAGCAATGCATTAGATATATTTTTCATTTCAGTAATTTTTGATATTTTCCCTGGGGTTATTTTTGTCTTAGGTTGCTGTTACCGACTATTCCGTCTTTTCATATAGCAGAGTTATCTGCTCTTGATAGCAGGTATTGATTGTTACGTCCTTTATTTGTGAGAGTAACGTCATCATTTTTTAGAAAACGACATACTTTTCTCACACAAACTAATGACGTAACAATCAATACCTGCTCACAAGAACAGGTAACTCTGCAATACGAAAAGACGGAATACTGAATGAGGTAAGAAAGGAGGTCAACTTGCTGGCTCATTTATAAATCAGTTTGAAAATTAAAGTCATTAATCCATATTTAGATCTTCACTATTTTTTAATCAAGGTTCAATATAAAAGTCATTTGAAGATTTTAAGACATTTGACCACTGTGACCTCATATGTGGGACGGGTCAAGGTCATTTATTTGAACAAATGTCAAAGCTAGTAAGTTTCATGTTAAATAGCATGAACCCTAAGCTGTATGCTCGCTAAGGAAAAATTTGTTTAAAAAAAAGTTGTGAAACATGAACTATGGCTGACACACAGTGATGTCAGTTAACACAGCCCCCCAGGCGAAATTATTAAGATGATAATCTGCTGACAGTTTGTGCAGAAACAGAAATCTCCACACGTACAAGGCTATGCCGTAAAAAGAAAAGTGGGGAAATAACTCTCCTTACCGTAACAGTTGTAGATCTCCATACCCTCCTTCACATCTCGGACAGCTCTCACCACCAACGAATCACGGTCAAAACTACAAACATTGGACTCGGTATGAGATAAAAGTAACTAGATATGAAAATGAGAAGGTACCATTAACCCCTCCTCCCTCTCCCTTCCACTTGACCTCTTGACCTACAGAGTGATCATAACCCATTTTCTGTAAAAAATTAGTAATGGTGACCTTGTGTCATAATCATGATATTGAACTTGTTTAATGTAAGTTACAACATGTGTGAAGTTTCAAGAAATTCTACCATAAGAAACAGGTGCCCACCCACCATTGTGATGACAGCAAATTTGATAGCAAAATTCTATTTTTGTAACAATGACCTTGGCCTTTGACTGATTATGGACATTACCAGTGGCTTGTGATGTTCCAGTTTGATTGGCCTTAAATTACTTACTCAAACTTCTGTTCAGGAAGGAATCATAAAGAGCTTTATTTATTTTACAACAATTATGAAACAAGTTATGTCAACTTATATTAATCTTTCTTGTTGGCCTGGATGTTAGCGCACAGGGGATTTTAGTGTGGGAGGAAACTGGAGTACCCGCAGAAAACCTATGTGGCCAGGGAGGTGACCCCATACCGTATCACGTCCGATCGGGGAATCAAACCCCGGCTGCCTAGGTGAAAGGCAAGTGCGCTATCCACTGCACCACCTGACTATATCATTGTGGCATAGTAGCATAGTGTTTATTAGGTCTTATAATGGTGTTCAGTTCAATATAATCAACAAAGATATTTACCTAGATATGATTGTCGGATCGCAGGAATGGTTCATCAGACTGGCAGTGGGGTATATCGCCGTGGCGACCCGGACCTGACTTTTGGTATCCACTAGTGACTGGTCTGTTGCCTGGGTAACTTGTAATTCCGTGATGGCATGTGCATTACATACAAGCTGTTGGATGTGGCGCAGCAAAAGACCCCCCACGTAGCGCTCCACCTCTGATACATCTCTAGCGCCTCCGGAGACGGCGGTATCACCGTTACCAGGACCTGAGCTGAACCAGCCTGACACTTGTAAGATGTTAAGCAATAGACAGGCTGTCTGAAAAAGACAAGTGTGCAGTCATCAGTACTGTACCGGCAGAAGTTTTAATTGGCAATACGATTTTATTAATTTCTGAAGTGGCTGTTTAATGTTTATGAGCACTGTCATCACATATATATTAGCAACTAGCTCATACTGGACTGGGAATCCCAGGTTTAATTGCTTAACAGTTCACATATGGTTAAGCCATGTGCCTCCGAAAAATTGGCCAGACTAAAGTCACACCTATGCTGCTAATTGGCCTGGCCTGTAAATTAAGTGACTGGTCTATGATTTAAGATCTTTCGGTGACCGAAGTCAGTGTGTGAATCCATAAAGCTATTGTTTCCTCACTACGATGGACCAAAATTTGTTCATGGGACCGATCGAAATTCGTGAGAAATGTGTCCCACCATGTGAGGAATTTCTAAGCAGTTTTTGTGAGTCTCACCCTCAAATCAACCAAGTACCAAGAGAAAACGTGATTTTTTCTCAGGATTCTCCTGTGTTTGCATCACTTATAGACATCCACATTGTACTTCAACACATTTTACAGAAATAATTTTAAAGGTTTTTTTTATACACAAACAATGTACATATGAAATGTGTCTCAACATTTCAAGACCAACAGGTTCCTTTGTAAGACCAACAGGTTCCTTTGTAAGGCCAACGGGTTCCTTTGTAAGACCAACGGGTTCCTTTGTAAGACCGACGGGTTCCTTTGTAAGACCAACGGGTTCCTTTGTAAGACTAACGGGTTCCTTTGTAAGACCAACGGGTTCCTTTGTAAGACCAACGGGTTCCTTTGTAAGACCGACGGGTTCCTTTGTAAGACCAACGGGTTCCTTTGTAAGACCAACAGGTTCCTTTGTAAGACCAACCGGTTCCTTTGTAAGACCAACTGGTTCCTTTGTAAGACCAAGCGGTTCCTTTGTAAGACCAACAGGTTCCTTTGTAAGACCAACCGGTTCCTTTGTAAGACCTTTGTAAGACCAACCGGTTCCTTTGTAAGACCTTTGTAAGACCAACCGGTTCCTTTGTAAGACCAACAGGTTCCTTTGTAAGACCAACGGGTTCCTTTGTAAGACCAACGGGTTCCTTTGTAAGACCAATAGGTTCCTTTGTCAAGCTATGACCGAGTGATCAATTTGTATTGTTTACCTGTACAACAATGTGACGAAATTGTATATTTCTTACGTCACTCGACCAGGGACATTTCCCCGATCGATAAGCGTATACATACAGTATTAAATACAGAAACAACATTACCAGCGAGTACTGAAACAGGTCGTCTATGACGAGGTGCTGACTGTGGGGCATCAGATCGTACACAGTGAGGTAACCCCGCCCGTAGGTACCGTCCTCACTCACGCCTCCAATCCTCAAAATTCCACTTTTCTTCTGCTCTTCAAGGCTCTGCAACGTCTTTTTAAATTCTGTTATAAAGACAATGCTATTTGCTGTGAAGTCACAAATAAGAGGCCCAATGGTCCTGCATCCCTCACCTGGTATTAACCTCACATTTGTGACCTTAAAAGTGATCTAAAATAAAGCTACAGCCAAAAAATCAGTATTTATGACTATAAGTCATTCAAAAGAACCTATTAAAAGATTTCAAAACATTTGACCTCTGTGACCTTGAAAGTCAAACAAAGACATTAGGTTGAACAAACTTTATAGCATTTCATCTCAGCATGCAACTTGCTAAATATCACCACCCTATACCTTTTGTTGATTGAGATTAGGTCATTTAAAGGTTTATATATATTTGACCAAATATGACCTTGAAAGTAGGACAAGGCCATGAAAAATATAAAACCTTGATAGCCCTTCATTCAAGCATGTTACGGGCTAAATATCATCAGCCTGCGCCTTTAGGTTATTCAGAGGAAGTTGTTTTGGAACATATTTGACCCCTGTGACCTTGAATATAAGTTAAGGTAATTCATTTTAACAAACTAGGTAGTTTTTATCCCAGCCTGCTACTGGCCAAATATCATCATCCTGGGACTTTTACTATTTCAGAAGAAGTCGTTTAAAGATTTTTAATATATTTGACCCCTGTGACCTTGGAAGTCAAGGTCATTCATTTTAACGGACTTATCCTAGCATGCTGATGACCCAATGTCATCATATCCTGGTCTTCTTGGTTATTCAGAAGTTGTTGTTTTAATTTTTTTTAGACAACCGACCCCTGTGATCTTGAATATGATTGAAGGTCATTCATTGAAACAAACTTGGTAGCCCTTCACCTCAGCATCCTATTGGCCAAATATCATCACCCTGGGCATTTTGGTTATTCAGAAGAAGTTGGTTAAAGTTTTTAACATATTTGACCAATGTTTACCAACTCCTAGCAGGTTTATTGAATGAGTCGGGATTGAGGAAACCTATATTGGTTGTAGGAGAAATATTGTTCTTTGACATAAGGCGATGAATATCATTACACATTTGTTATGGATTAATATTTTTTATATAATTGTGTTTTTACACTGTCCAGCGAATATACCCATGTTATATTTTTTGGTGTAATATGACCTATCAGCCCTGCGATTGGTTGTAAGTTTCAATTGTTTCAATTGTGACGTCAGGCCTAGGACAAGTATATGACGTCACAGACTTTAACACTGGAGTAAAAATGGCGGCTTTTTACATCTCAAGGTTGCATGAACATAGTCGTTTTACTCGAATAACTTCCACATTGAAATTTATGAAACTTTACAGAGGCTCGCTTAATTGAAAAATTCTTAGACTTGTTTCATAAATCTCATATGAAATGGAAGCTCATGTAAAATCTTGTATTGATAACATGATGAAGAAATACAATGTTTTATGTTTGAATATAAATAGGCACTTTGACATCAAAAGTCAAATTTTGATAGAACTTCTTTGAAATAGACGATTTATTACACCTAGTTAGCATAGATCCTATATATTCAAAATGCCTTAAATATAGTATACTTCATATTTTTGTTTCCCCTTCACCTACCTACCCATTAAAATACCTAAAATATTTTATCAACATTTTCCAGCAAGATTGTAATTCTTAGGTCTTTTTTTTCTTACAAAATGATGATTCCTTGCACTTTTTTCAATCTTAAATAATTAAGTTAAAAAGTTTCATCAGAATTTTCTCTGTCTATTTACTATCTACCTGTGCATTAATGACATCTAAGTAAGTCAGTCAAGGGGAAACAAACTTTATACAGGATCCTTGATAAATCAATTGCTACAATCCCTACTTACTGAAATAGTCATCATCCATGTATGTGACAGGTATTTACCAATTCTGTCATATTGAATTACCAGTTTGTAAAACGTACTTACCAAGTTGGTAAAATACACTTGCCTATTTTGTAACATGTACTTACGAAGTTGGTAAAATACCCTTGCCTATTTTGCAACACGTATTTACCAAGCTGGCAAAATACACTTGTCTATTTTGTAACATGTATTTACCAAGTTGGTAAAATACCCTTGCCTATTTTGTAACACGTATTTACCAAGTTGGCAAAATACACTTGCCTATTTTGTAACATGTATTTACCAAGTTGGTAAAATACACTTGCCTATTTTGTAACAAGTACTTACCAAGTTGGCAAAATACACTTGTCTATTTTGTAACATGTATTTACCAAGTTGGTAAAATACACTTGCCTATTTTGTAACACGTACTTACCAAGTTGGTAAAATACACTTGCCTATTTTGTAACATGTACTTACCAAGTTGGTAAAATACACTTGCCTATTTTGTAACATGTTCTTACCAAGTTGGTAAAATACACTTGCCTATTTTGTAACATGTTCTTACCAAGTTGGTAAAATACACTTGCCTATTTTGTAACATGTTCTTACCAAGTTGGTAAAATACACTTGCCTATTTTGTAACATGTTCTTACCAAGTTGGTAAAATACACTTGCCTATTTTGTAACATGTTCTTACCAAGTTGGTAAAATACACTTGCCTATTCTGTAACATGTACTTACCAAGTTGGTAAAATAAACTTGCCCATTCTGTAACATGTACTTACCAAGAACAAACTGAAGCCCTGCAACCAGAACAATTCTAACACCAAGGTGTGCTATCCCGACCTGAAAAATGAAACAGTTTAAGACTTTTAGAAATAGATGTATCAGCTCACCAAATCACGTAACAAATTTTCTTCTCATAATGAATGAAACCAAAATCTGAATACAAACCAAACACAAGTCTGTTTACATACATATGAAGACATTTTGTGCACCTCCAGTAATGATTATAGTCACAGACACACCTTACATATTTACTAGGGGTGTCACAATACGCCAAGAGTGTATCACGATATATTGCAATACATAATGAATATATTGCAACACGTATCCCGAAATATTGTCATAGGAAAGATGTGCTTGGTTTAATGATAAGTCGTTGTCAGAATGTTATCAAACTTAATCATATATAATATGGATCACATAGATTTAAGATTTCTGTCAAACCAACCATCGATTACAAAGTTTGAACTAATTCCCACCACTATTAAAAGCCTGTTTATCTGTTAGAATTTGTAGTAGTTTGCAAAGTTAAATTACCAAGCAGAATGAGATACATAAAAATAAGCTTTTAAAAAAATATTGTGATACAGCAATATTTCATCTCTGTATTGTGGTACAATACGATATACCCTTGTATTGCGATATACCTGTTTTCCGATATATTGTGACAGCCCATTACTTACAGAGTGAAGAAGATCCAGGTACGGACACTCTATGTTGTGGTAGAAGCTCCATGAGACGTCCCGACAGTCTTTACTGCAGTAACGTACCTGTGTACATCGTACACACCTTACATACTTACAGAGTGAAGAAGATCCAGGTACAGACACTCTATGTTGTGGTAGGAGCTCCATGAGACGTCCCGACAGTCTTTACTACAGTAACGTACCTGTGTACATCGTACACACCTGTGACAGAAATATATCCACATGGTTTATAACTGTAGGATACAGCAATCAGACAGCAATCAAAATTCTCAGTGAACCATGGTTTTTATCAGGGCTGCAATGATACGCATACCTCACGATACAAATATTTGCAAAGAAAGGTCAACTTCTTAATGATTAAGTGTAGGATTTTATCCAGTTTCGTCAAACTTCAATATTAAATACTATCGAAATATATTGTTTTGTATAATTTCTAGCACTTTTAGGTATGACTGCACAGTGAACCGCGCATCTTTACTGAAGGGTTAAAAAAAAAAAAGGAGATAATTTAAGTACTGCTAGTGTATTGCGATACAGACAAACAAAACAATTTGATACGATACACAAGTATCACAATACGATACATGTACGATACGATAAACAAGGAAGTATCACAATAAATACATGTACGATACAATACACAAGGAAGTATCACAATACGATACATGTACGATACGATACAATATATCGTCGCAGCCCCAGTTTTTACATTAACATTTTTATGATATGGCAATTGGTTGATACAGTTTAGCCAGATTGACAGGAGCAATCTTGTGCGCTAAAAAAGCCAAAAGTTTATACTGCATAAGGCAGAGCCACAATGTTTAACTATGCTACAAGCACACAGGGCAATGAAATCCTCAGAAATTGTGTCTCATTTTCTTTAACTTTTTACTCAAGTGATTGTTCTAAATATAAGTCAGGATGGACATTTAAAGGAATATCAAGCACTTCAGAATAAAGCACAAACATTATTTCTTTTACATATCAAACATCAAACAATGCCAGACCTATTTCAAGTTTTAAAGCTTCACAAGTGTTGTTCATTACCACAGTGTTCAGAGTGTAACAATATAAACAGCTTACGGAATGACGACAGTATCCAACTGTCCAAAACAATGGTGACAATGCGAGGCGTAGTGGTCAGGAAGCAGGACCGCAGCAAATGGTTTCTCCACGATCAGTGTATCTCCAGCCCGGAGTTCTCTCGTCGCCTGTGGAAATATTTCATTCGTCTTCAAATAGTTTTTATATACTTCCCACCCAGCATTATAACCCGTGAAAGTTCCAGGAAAGAGCAGACCTGCTGTATCCCATTTCTATGCTATTGTAAGGAGTAACTTATATGGGGTTTCCTGCAGAATCAAGGGTTCTCTACGGGAGGCACTGAAGACCCAAAATTGATCTTCTGCCCCCACTGCAACATAAGGGATCTATATGGGTTTTTGTTTTTTTGTTTTTTGTTTTTTTTTCTTTTTTCTTTTCTTTACGGCAGGGTCAGCCTCAGCATTCATTTTTAGCTGTTGCAAGTAAATTAAACCAACTTGAAACAAGCATTACCAGAGAAACTGTGAACTCAATCTCACAAGATATACCACCCTCGACCTCGCTTACCGTTACAATGTTTCTGGAGCAAAAATGAAAGTTTCAAGGGTCGTAACTCCAGGAAAAAATGTTGAATCACAAAATCCTTCATTCGTGCATGTTTGCATATGTTGTACTTTAACTGTGCCAAGTTACAAAAAATTACAACAAAACGTTAAGGAGGAGTTGCACTTACAAGGTTTCTGGAGCAGAAAGTTTAAAGGGTCATAACTCCAGGAAAAAACAGTCGAAACGCAAATCCCTTTCTTCATGCACATCTACATACGATTTACTTTCACAGTGTAAAGTAACAAGAAAAATCCAAAACAATGTTTAGGAGGCTTACAAGGATTACGGACAGAGGGACGGTCAAATAGACGAACAGGGTATTCTTATATAACCCCAAAGCTTTGTTTGCAGGTGGTATAACCAGATTTCCACAATTACCTGTGTTACAACATAATACATAACTGTATCCCTGTACAGTTTTGCAGTAGTGTTAAGTTCTTCACATGTTGTTTGACATGTCATTGATGACAAGCATCATTTACTCATAAGAAAGAAAAAAAAATGCATGAAACGGTCTTTCCTTCCACTGGCACAATTATTTATCATTCAGAACAACACCTCTAAAAAGAATACTTGGTACTATTATGGTCCACAGTGGTGAAAGTGTTAAATATGCAATGATCTTACATGATATTGTGTAATAAATGTGCATGTACTTCTTGTAAAAAAAAAAATATATTATATATATATTAAGGTAGAGGTACCACTGTACCAGTTATAATCTCAAAGAAGAGTTCCACTCAGAGTTTTTTGCCCTGGAGTATTCTCCCTTCTATATAAAAGATGTAGCAGCCAAAAGGAGTTTTTACTGGCTTAGAGTAACTTCCCCTGTCATCATGTATATTTCAAGATTTCAAGATTCAATGTTGGTACATGTTCTGTAGCCCATAAATTGAAAACTTATTTTGATGCATTGCATTTATGATTCCTGGATGGAAAGGTTGGTACATGTATAGTGTAGGCCTTGCAATGTTAAGTTTGTGAGCTAGATTGACCCCTTCAATTTTTATGTTTTCTTTTTCACATTTCAAACAAGAATTTTGTAAAATGCATTGCAATATGTCATTTTTATGTTTTCTTTTTTATTCATATTTTCAAACATTCACATTTCAAACAAGAATTTTGTAAAATGCATTGCAATATTTCATTTTTATAGAATAATTCTTTTGAAAAGGACTTTTGGTTTATTTGTGTTTTACGTCCTATTATATAACAGCTATGGTCATTTAAGGACGTACCAGGAATTGGTTTTGGAGGAAAACCAGAACACCCAGAGAAAAAAACAACGACTTGCTGTCGGTACCGGATGACAGACACATAAGCCTCAAGCCTGCGATCCAGTGGTGGAGGGCTAGTGATTGTAGATGGTCAGACGCCTGAACCACTCGGTCACCACGGCTCCTCAAAAGGACTTAAAACATTTCACAATAGTGACAATGGTAATATTATATTTGAACTCGTTGGTACCCTTTAACTCATTCACCCCTGAAGGCACATTTGAACTCTTCCAATTCAAAGGTTGGAATAGTTCATTATGAAATTTCAGAGGTGAATGAGTTAAAAGTGTTTTTTTCAGGAAAAAATGTCGAGCTTGACAGATAGCAAGAACTATGTACGTCACTAACGAAGGTAAACTAAATAAAAAACATTGACCCAAGTGATTAATTATCTTGGGCAAACAGATCACACTAAACCTAATCATTACTAAGTAATGAGACCACAGTAGGCCTACAGTAAGCAGAAGTATTGACATGTGATGTTTACCATTGGTCTGCCTATTTGTTCCTGTACATGCTAATAGGAGGATCAAAGCGAATTTAATTTGGCAAGAATCTCTTTATCCTTCCAATGCTCAGACAGTTAGTTTGTGAAATGTTTTTTGGAAAAAGTAAGACATCATTTTCCTAAATCTGTAATCCATCTTAAAAATGTCTAGTCTGCACATCTGTCCTGTGAATGTTTGTATTTGTCGAACATGATCACCATTTTCTCCACATGTAGATTCCGTAATTCTGAAAAAGTCTACAAAATCAGTTGGCATTTGTGTCAAGGCACAAACTTAATGCAAGACTGACTGACGTCGTGCACTTCAGTTTTTATCGTTTTGCTGTAGATCTGTTTTTCTCCCCCACACAATATAGTTTCCTCACTCCCATCTCATTGGATAAATATGCTATGAGTTGGTAAATATTTTGGTCAGGCCAAAAAAACACCTGTATATTTCAGGTAACATGACTGAATAAAATTGGGATTTGTTTTTATTTTGAGATGGGCCAATTTGTGGAAATTTTAAAAATCACCAAAATCAGTTATTCAGACCAATTGTATTTAATTTTCATGTGTCATAAAGACACTTATGATTTTAGACACGTTCAAATGGGACGTTTTGGTGAGATAACATTGTTAGGTAGAGAGGTAAAAACTAGGGTCAGTTGGGGTACCTGAAAGATACATATTTTTCGTTTCGTTTCATCCTTACTCACAGAGGGTAATACCCTGGACATTATTTCATTGGTCAATCATTTTATAATGATGTCAAGTAACAAAGCATTGTGATGTCATCTTTTATTGTAATGTCATAATTCATGGTAAGTGTTTCCCCGATTGGAATGATGTATTCTCAAGAGAAACCTATTGTTTGCTAGGATCTTACATGAGTTTCCATTTCATACGAGACTTATGAAACTTGTGACAAATTTTTTGATTTAGCGAGCCTACGGCGAGCTAAAATGAAAAGAACTGTGACGAGTTTCATAAATTTCTTATGAAATGAAAACGAGTGTAAAATCATTTTTGTCACATAACCAAGATTTGTGGCATTTATTCGTGTGAAACGACAATTTTCATGCAACCTTGAAATGTAAAAAGCCGCCATTTTGATACAGTGTGCAAGTCTATGACCTCATGTACTTGTCCTAGGTGTGACGTCACAATTGAAACTTTCAACCAATCACAGGGCTGATAGGTCATATGATATGGGTAAATACGGGAAAAAAAATTGACATTGGTATATTCACTGGATAACACAGTACATTATGTGATAAATACATAATAATATGAATGTTATGTAAGAAAAAGGCTCCCAAACTCATCGTTATTCCTTTATTAAATTGCAAAAGTCACTAGGTAAACCTTGTGTCTTAATACAATTTGAAAATTAACTTACTGGAGTTAGATAAACATGATAACCAACCATCACTCGTTGGTGAACCTCTATGTTTCTAATTAGGTCTACATTGTGTATCTTATCAGAAAGGACCCCACAAAAAACTAAACAGTACCAAGTTTATTTCATCATTCTTTAAAACCGGCAGCATATTTTAACAGCAATATATCAAAATAATCACATCACAGTTAAATACTTAAATTCTGTAGACTATAATCTGCATGACCTGTCCTAACAAACTACCTACCAAATTAGTCTGCAAATAAAAAATCTGCCTGTTTCAACAAATACAAAATATGTTTGTATCAACAAATACAAAATATGTTTGTATCAACAAATACAAAATTTGTCTAAATTCTAGACACATAATTGCATATATAAACACAAATTTTGCTTGTATCAGTAAACAAAAATCCTGTCTTAATACAAATCTTGTCTGTATCTATCTGCCAATACAAAATCTGTCTATATCAGTTAAAATACAAAATCTGTCTGTATCTGCCAATACAAAATCTGTCTATATCAGTTAAAATACAAACAATGCAGCATTGAATCAAATGAAAAAGAATAGCTACTAAAACTGTATACAATATACTGACAGCTGACGAAGGGCAATAAACTCCCTAAAAGGTTTAGTGTCAAGTCAGTGTTTTTAAAAGATTTCTTGAGCAAAAGTCAAATATATTTAAACAAACATATCTGATTTCACTATGTCATGTCTATCGGATCTAGCCTTACAGGGTATTTCAATCTTTTGTACGGTGTTGGCTTGCCATAATTCACTTGCCAAGACGGTGGTTTCTCTTTTTCCGATTTCTTTCGTCGACTCTCCATTTCTAATTTTAACAACTCTGACCTCCTCTGTGCAGTTAATCTAGAAATCCCAGTGTTCAATATGGCCGATTTCCCCATCGCAGCTAAAGCTGTATCACTGAGATTGTGTCGTAGCTGTTTCCATGGCACCCAGGAAGTGTTGTCGGGGTCGATCCTGAAGCCGATGGTGTGATAGGACGTAGGCGCTGTACAGGGGAAATGGACACACTGATACTTCCTTTGCGGCACAAGGAATTCACACGAGTTTGAGTTTCGCTTGAGTTTGTTTGAATCTGGGGTCACAGAGTATTGACGCATTGTATAACTTGACGTGATTCGCTGTCTTGCGCGTTCCTGTCCAGTACGTTCTCTTTCCTGCGACATTTCGTCCAGTTGTCTTCTTAGATTTCTCATCGACTGTTCCAACCTTGCCGTCTGAGAATTGCATTTGGTCTCCATGAAAGAAATCTGGTTTTCCATCTGTCTAGCGGCAACATTGTTCTGCTTTTTCGTGCGAATCGCTGGATGATGTTCAATGCCCTTTACTTCCCACTTGGCTTTCATCATGTAAAATCTATATCATTTATATCATATATCACTATTCTTCACAGAAAGTCTCATCTACTAACGGCAGAACTGCTTAAGTCTGAACTCATCTATCTGTCTTTCATATATTATGTGTAGCTAGTAACATGTCTATATATAGGTAGAAAAGCTATTGTTTCAAACACAAGACTACTTCAGATTTCTCCTGACTTCAATAATCCAATTTTAATCCTTTAGTTTGTGAGATGGAGACAATGCAAACAGGCTGGCACGGCGATAGAACAACCTGAAATGGCGTCATTCCCTTTTTACCTCAATACTTTCAACAAAAGAAATCCATTTTTGTTCAATGTTCCACATGAGAGTAATTTTTCCAATAACTTTGAGCTCCGGACTCTAATAGCATTACTGAATCTCAATGGCATCTATCAGCGAGGCAAAATGTTTATAAAGCACGCCGGACAGCTGGATGTCAGTAAATCCAAATACTGTGAAATAGGCGGGGAGGTGGAAATCCTTTGTACCTATTAAAATCCATGTGTAAGGTCCCAGCCTACATCATAATGGAAAATTCAATCTGTCTAACGAGGATTACACACCTCAGCAGTACCTGTTCAGCTTTACAGACTGAATGTAATCAATTGCAGCTAATGCTAAAAATTCAAGTCCAATAAAATCACTTTGCACCTTTTCTCACCTGGCCGTCAGCCAGTGTTGGGTTACCTGTCTGCCAGAGTTAGGTTACCAGTTGGTGTGATAACAGGTGATGTATACTCGAGATTCTGTTTACACACCGTTCAGTATCTAGAGATAAGGATATCAGAAACAGAAGCAATCAATTCAACTCTTGGTCCTATCATCCTTGAATAGTTTCCTTCAAGCCACAAGAAACAAAATTCTCATCCATCTTATTTGGATGTTCCTTATCTAATCAATGTAACTGGTTTTTGCTTTCACTGTTTATAGATTTCTTCGTAAAAGGTCTTTCCTTCCATTGAACAGACAGAGCAAGAATTTAAATGCTGAAATCCCTGTGTTATGCTGGCGAACTCAATGTGAAGTTGTAGAGGTTTGCTCTGTGGGCTTTACTGACTGTGCCAACAGTGTTGCAAGCATTACATTGGATTTGTGACATAAATAAACATCAGTTGTTATTTACATGAAAGTCAGTGATAAAAAGGGCGAACCTCTACTTAAAGCATGTCGGGAGCTACGCACACTATCCAATACAAACAATGACGTCACGTCTGACCCCCAACCCGGGAAATCTTTCTCCAGCTTAACATTGTGTAATATTGTACCCAGGTAATACTGGGGAATTATATCAAAAGTATATTGTGTACTTGTTGGTCTCCAGGTGTTTACTTTTAAAAGGTGCTTTATGTGTTATACTTAATAATATATTAAGGTATTTAGAAATACAGGATCAGTTAAATAACGGCTAAAATACTTCACCGAGACTTTGAATTGGGAATCTTACTCTATTACAACGTGGACACAAAGACATTTAATGTATAAGCTCCAGTACCATATAAACCAAATGTGTTTACGTAAGCAAGGCTCAAAGCATGGCACTTACCGGAAACATTTAACTTCAAAGAATATATTAAAGATTAAGTACAAAACACATGCTACTTCTAACTTTAATTTGTGTTTTAAAAATGCATTAATTTGTCGCAAAACTGTTTCGTGGAGGGCTCCAGTGTTTACCGTAAGGCTCTAACTCAAACAGTCCATTCCGTCAATACCAGAAACAAGTGCCTAATTGTTTGCTCTAAATGAGGATTCGGTGATAAAGCTAATACTTTCCGTGGCATTTCAATATACTCTCTGCCTGCGTCCACACAGCGATAGATTCCCATTGATCAAAGCATCAACATTGACACAAGCCGATATACATCACAGATATATGGCCCGTGTTTATGATAATACCCATATAGGTCTTATTGCAAACTACCAGGCTCGTTGTCAATGTGTTCAATACAATACATGACAAATGAACGTGAGAAGTGGATGCATGTTGGTAGACCAATTTGATGTGTGTGTGTTTAGCAAATACAAAAGATAGCAACACCCCTTTACAAGGATTAGGGTACACTGAAACACTTTTCCTCGTCCAGGCAATCTCAGCCAGACCAAAGAATTAACGAGGTTTGGACTTGTCAATGGGTTTCTATAAATCATCCTTGAATCTGTCCACCTAGAGTGACCCTATATCACTGTATACTGTATGTACTTCCTGGTATTTATTTGTACAGTGGAACCCACTTATTATGATATCGTTTTTTATGATATTTTCCCATGTACCGATTTTTTTCCTTCTTTAACTAAGAAAAAAGAAATCGCTAATTATGATATGGTCAAAGGTGGGACACCGCTTATTATGGTATTTTTTTCTGTTGTGAATGGATTTTACATAATACAAGGTAAAACCTCAGGTAGGTTGTCCGTGTGAAACACCTGGACAATTAAGCAATAGGTCCGGCTAACTGTACATCGCCCTAGGTAATCACCTGTCCACTCCAGGTAAATTTTTCACACCTCGCTTCAACCCAGTCAGCGAAAAAAAATAGATCGATCATCGCTTGCTGGTCACACATTTTAGTCTTAACAAAACATGTATCATGATCCTACACACTGTCTATACCACACTATCACAGTGAACCGTACTTTAAAATGAGAAATTTTCGCCGCAGTTTATATTTCATCTTTTTCACCCTCTACATTGAGGATGATTTTATCATTACAGTGAATTTAAATTAACAACAAAATATGCATTGTAATTAAATGTGAAAGATGACATTTACACTGGGTAAAAATTGATTTTAAGGGCGAAGGGCAGAAGTTTGACAGGCCAAAAAGTCTCCTGATATACAGTTTCACACTAAAGCTGTCTTCACATAGCATTTTTAGAAAACTGTTCTTCTGTCACTAATAACTAGAATTCATTCTTCAAGTTAAACTGTATCATCTTCTGAAATAATGTTGGCAACGAAAGAATAATTTTACAATATCACCATGATATGAAAATTTAATTTTTCAGCGATACAGAATTCATAATTCACCCGTGAAGACACATTTGAATTCTTCCAATTCAAAGGTTGGAATAGTTCATTATGAAATTTCAGGGATGAATGAGCTAATTATTTCATTAAATCCCCTTTCTTATACAACAAATCATATTTACACCAAGGTATGAACTATTAAGTTCTACACCTGATTAGATTATGGTGATCAACAGTCAAGTTTAAAGGGTCATAGGTCATACTTAACAACTTTTGTAGTCAAAAAGATTCTGTACAAAGAAATCTCATGAACTTCGTAACAGAAATACTTCATGTTTACAACATATTATGGTAACATCCAGTTCTACACCTGACCTCGGTGGTAATTGGTCAAGGTTAAATGGTCAAAATTTAAACTTGACCATATTAGGGAAGGGGGAGGGAGGTTAATAGATATATAGTAGGAATATCAACCCAAGAGTCCCTGGTTCCCATAGGTATCCTGTACAGGAGTGAATGACCTTCAACAATGAGGGGTGGAACGCCTTGTCTTTACCGCGTCTCTGTCTACAATACAGTGTCGGTCCACAATACAACGCTTCCTTTATTACTGGTACACAAGGTTGAAATTTCTGAAATTTTCTGACAATCACGAAGTAGTACTATTAGTCATTTGCCTAGTGTTTGGCAACTTAAGAATCTTTCCCCGAGGGTTGAGATTCCCCTATCTCACCCTCAAGGAGGTGAATGATTCTTTTTCTCTTACCCTGTTCATCCATTGTGTATTATATACACAATGTAATGATAATGTTACATGCTTAATTCAGGGTTGACGTGACGTTGATGGATTGTTGACGTGGCGTCGTTGTATTGTTGACGTGACGTCATATCATTGTTATGAATAGGGGAATTCCCCCGTCTAAACCCTAGGGTGAGACAAGGAAATCTCACAACGGCAAAAGTGTGGATAAACCTGTTCAGGGTAAGAGAAATCTATGTGACCTTCTACTTACTTTCCTCTTATTAACACAAGACTACTGTTGTGCTTGTTTTAAACAAGCCACATTAATTAGACATATTGAACTTTGATGTAAAAACATTTCTTATAGGAAATCATATTGAATAGGTTCCGTCAACACATGTCTAGTTGTTATATTCAAAACCAGATGGAATATGAACCACAGACAAAAACAGATAAATTGTGAAAGGTTTAATCAATGTACGCTTGATACATGATCAAATCTCATGTACATTATTAACCCCTTCACCACTGTATACCATAATGGACTCATCCAGATCAATGCATGGTAGAGTCTACTAAAGTTACATATGGGTGAAAGGGTTAAATAGTCAAATGTCGCGCATATCCATTTCCCCTGTGAACACTGGTGATTTGTCTAGGTATTTGCTGAAATGTAAACTCACAGTTTCATATTGCATTTACACATGATTTATTGCCATGTGCAGTTTTTAGATACGACACAAGCTGCACATCATAACTAGCAATGTATGTTCCAACTTAAACAAGAGGCCCGATGGGCCTGAATCGCACACCTGGTATTAATTTCACACATGTTCTCTTAAAAGTGGACTAAAATACAACTACAGGCAGAATATCAGTGTTTGATTAATAAGAACCTATTAAAATATTTAAACATATGACACCCGTGACCTTGAATGTCGAACAAGGACATTAGGTTGAACAGAATTTAAAGTCTTCCAACCAAGCATGCTTCTAGTAAAATATCATAACTCTGGACTTTTTGGTTATACAGAACAAATCATTTAAAGATTTAAACATATATTGATCACTGTGACCTTGAATATGGACGAAGGTCATTTATTTAAACAAACTTAGTAGCCATTCATCCCAGCATGTTACTGGCCAAATATCATCACCCTATGCCTCTTGGTTATTCGGAAGAAGTTATTTAAAGGTTTTAAACATATTTGACCCCTGTGACCTTGAAAATGGATGATGGTCATGTATTTGAACAAACTTGGTAGCCCTTCATCCCGGCATGCTTCTGGCCAAATATCATCACCCTAGGCCTTTTGGTTACTGAGAAGAAGTTGTTTCAAGTAAAAAGCTGACGCCAGACAATGGACGGACGACGGACGGATTACGGACGCCACACCATGCCAGGGACAAGTGAGCTAACAAGGCAATCCATATCCCTCACAGGTTTCAATTTCTTTATCTACCTCAAGATATAGTTCACAATGACATGCTTCTTGTACTCTGCACTCCACCTGCCAAGACATACTTGCATACCAAGGTCAAACCATAGGTCACAGTGACCTACCTTTTGTACATGACACTTTGCTTTCCCAAGATGTACTTACATACCAAATTTGGACACTCCAGGTGAATAAGTATAAAATATGCCCAAGAAAATTGAGGTCAAAGTTCCAGCCATAGATCACAGTGACCATACCTACTAAATGACCTGCATCTTGCGAGTCACACCTGCAAAATTAACCAATAACACGCGACCATCTTATGACCCGCACGGGTGATACAAATATCCCGCATTCCGTCAACATGACCTGGAATCACCCGCTGCCGTAGCGCTCGTATAAGTATCTCTGGAAGTGTTCAATTTGTGTGTCTCTGAAGTTTAGCATTCATGTATATATATAAAGTCCATACACTATTCGAAATGTTTCAAAATGGCGGTCTCCCTTTCGTGGAAGCCAGGCAAATTTGAAAGGTGAGTACTATTTACTATTATAACAGTGCATATATTACTGATCGTAGTAATTTCGATTTCACATGCACAACCGTTATCTGGACGGCGTTCAACGTAAGAAAATAGAATAAGTATGCCTGCTTTCACAATACTTAGTGGGGAAAAGATTTTGAGTGGCTTCATAATAATGTTGAGCCCAATCATTTTTATTGTAAACTGTATACTTAAATATTTTTCGGTAGGATCGGGTGCTCTTTACGACATCAAGACGTACGCACGATTAACGATTTTCACAAAATCTGACGACAAGGTTATAAACACAAAGTGGTTATTTAGTAACTTCAAAGCTGAGCAATATTACTTGCACAAAGGCAGATCATGATCATTTTACCAAAACCTGCATGAAAATGCTTCTGATATCGATTGTGAGATTGCTTAAAAATGTGCATGCAGTCATACAAATATGTGTGTACCCATATGTTATACCAATACAAA